TCAGATGATAAATCAGAACATTCTTTCCAGGCCCACCTCTCTTTTAGACTAATGGAGACGTGCAGATCTCTAGTGATATGGGTTTTGCCGAGAAATATCGATCCACCGGAAATTGAACAATCGGAATAGGCGTGAAACGTTTCATCATGGAGGCAAATCGCACATAGATTCTTATCATAATCACAACCTCAACTACTCCTCCCTCAAGTTGGCTGATCAAAGTTGCCACTGGAAGCCTTGCATTACCGCTTGGAATGCATTGTACAACTGGTTGTTGATGGATATACCAATCGAGTGTAATTCTGCTTTGACAATAATTTTGTTTTATATTTTTTGCAAAAGAAGTAATTCCAGCATGGAGTTGGTCATGTTTCAAGTTGGGTGATATTCTGGGGACATTAGTTTACGGATACATTAGCGATTCTCATACTAATAGATTGACTCACTATTGAATCTATTATCTGTCGCTGAGGTGCAACCGAAAAGCCTATTTGTATGACATCCGTTACGAAACGATTAGTGGCGATTAGTTTCATTGTGCTCAAAGAATCGATTGGGTGAAACTGTTCTGTCGTGAAAAAGGGGCCAAGTGGAATTAAAACGAAATCGATTGGATTACGCTGAAGAAATCCAACTGCAGGTTGCGTACTGTTCACAGATAGCATCATCAAGCTCTTGTGACCTCGTTTTCACAGTTGGGGATGAGAAATTGATTGTTTGGGCAGTCCACAGTGGATTATTAAACAATGCTTCATTGTGGAAAGGAGTTCCGTTCCATACTGAATACACGAATGTGTTGTGTTGTCTTCAAGGGAGTGATTTTTACACAAGTAGGTTTAATGAATATAATAGCGCGGACTAACCGAGTTTCCGAATGTATGAGGTCACCATACACGTCGGTGTCCTGTAGTCTGTACAGAATTGTGCAACCGTTGCAGATAAATCCTTTGATAAAACACCTCAGAGGATAGAGATATCGTATGAAATCCTCGAGGATCTTACATACGAGCTTGTTTCATCCCCACGTTGGTTTGGACTAAAGGATTGGAATTGCATGTAGCATTCGATTGTAACCGTTGTCTGTTTCCTCCGAGAATGGTACCAGAAGACGGTTTCAAGGGTAAACTGTAAAGAATCTGTCCCCAAGACAAGGGCATTTTCTACCACTAATCAGGATTACGAAACCCAAGATATTTTTTCATCTATTCAATGTAGTATGTTTAGGAGATACCCACTCATTATTTTATTCGCGAAAGCATAACCCCTATTCGGCAAAACATTAGCATTGTGAAAGTCCACCTCGAACAAGACAGACTGGCCAAAGTCAAGGCAGACAGACATCACCATGCGCGAATCCTCGTCACCTATGTTTAAGCATTTCTATGGGTTAATTTAACCTCAGCCTATCAATGAATTTCCAAGAATAATAACGTATGTGGGGAGGGGGGGATGGGAGGAGGGTATGCGAATGATGGACGGAATTGAGTAATTTGGAACACCAGCATGTCCCGAATGCTTGTTCCTTGCCCAGACATGTGCAATAGAATCGATCAGTGTTTAACTTCATTTCAAATCCCGTATTTAAGATAAAATTGGTAAACAAAATTGTGAACTACACGGTAGCTTCTTCTACTATTCAGGAAATGAATGACGGGGAAGAAAGTCTATCTGTATTGGTGCATCATTTTGTATGTTGTGTCGTTATTCTCGTCGTATATGAACTGGTGTGTATTTCGCATCGGTATGAGTAATGTCTTTCTTTGTTTCATCAAGACAATCCACTTTATCATGGGTTATGTAAGATAATTATCGAGAAGACAGTATTATCAATCAAGTTGCCTGATTTATCCGAAAAACCAAAGATTACCACAACTTCATTTTCAAATCATGGAAACACTTTTTTTTACAAATACGAGAAAAAGGAGCCTGTTTTCGCGTGAATTGGTCAGCATAATTGTTCGTCTGAGTTTTTTGAGTCTACTCGCATTCTGATCGATTGTCTTACTCGACTTCTCGCCATCCTTATAATCCTTCACAAAGAAGGTGACCTCGACGATATTGTATTGAGGATCAGTGAAAGTGTATACTTGAATGACTGAATAAAATACCTACCTACCACCCACTCACCCACCCACCTAAGAAAAAGGAAATGCAAGCGCGATAATGACAGCGATGACGTTCATACCACCGCGGTTAATTAATTGTATACTGCCCCAAAGCAGTTGTGTCTGATCGATTGACGAAGATCTGATTTGTGCATAAAAGATGTAGCATTTACTCAGTGCTTGTAGACAGATGTTGAGTGGGATATACGAATGCGCGCTCCTCTGTCGTATTCACTGACACGCTTTGAATAACCCACTTACAAAACATGGAATCATAGCATTGATTCTTCTTTAGACTGGCTCTGAAACAGCTGTCTATCCAATGGTTACCCGGTGTTGCAAACAAGATTATTGTGAGGAAAATACACTTCCTGGGTACAAGTATATGAATGAACTGACAAAAGATTACCGGATACGCATGCCTAACGAGCGGCAAGAATCGCGAAACCGGTCGTATGCTTCCAGGAGAATTTTGTCCAGTCATTCACATACTACTTATTATGAAATATATATATATATATACATATGCATGCGTGTAAACAATACGGCAAGTAACGATAGTCTCTGTGGTTGGACAATACACAAGTTACATACAAATACGTCAGGACCGATAGCTCACACGTTTAATACAACCAAAAAGTGATAGTGTCCCGTGATATAGCGCGTTGTTTTCCACTGCGATGTGTCAGTTGCGTGGCAGCCAAATCTCTGTCGGCATGCGTCGTGCAACCCAGCTTTGTTAGGCCCCCACTTCTATGGAAATATATATTAAATTCGTGTTTCTCGGCTATCTAGTTCTCCGTGTAATGTGCGCCGAGAACTTTGTCTCGTTAAAAACTAAACACGCAAACATAATTTGCTTGATTACGAAAAAAAATATGGTGGCAGATAAATGCGATCCCATTAGAGCTATTCTTTTTTTCTAAATAGTGGCAACTCAGCCCTCCCCTTCACCCTCAAAATCATTCAGCTCGAATCACACACACATACACACGCACCGTGCGCGTGGTCAGATGTGCACCTTTACACAAACACGTGTCTCCCTCCCTCTCACCGTCGCTGTGACTGTTTGTATGACCACGCGAATGAAACAAGAACGAACTGAATATTGGTCATTCGATCACATGACCACCCGTTCGTTGTATGGTGGGGAAGATGTATTGCCCGACTGGAGACAGAACAATACGCTTCCCACATTCAGTTGACACTTGTGCCATTTGTTTTACGAACGGAGAGCAACGGAACAATCGACACTGTGTGTTGGAAGGCCGTGGTGGTTGTTTACAAAACGAAAGGAAATGAACCAAAAAAGACTGAGAAGTATCGTTCGAATTCTTTCTCCGAAATTGTATCGTATTAGCAGTGCAGCAGTGAAGATGGAACTCGGAACGCCACATGTAGAACACACTCGTCCAGAGATGAGTCCATCGGACCGGTTAACCTTTTGTGTGAACATACAATCGCCCCCCACATTCCCTACTCCCTTGCCTAATATCTCATTTTGAAAACATTGTTCTCACTGGGTTCAGCAATTGCTGCTCAGTGGAATACAGCGTGAAAACAACCACTGTATGAAAGGGAATGGACTCCGTTTCGAATTTTCGACAGCTTTAATCTACCTGATCGCTTCCCCACTAGTAAGCAGAACAGTAAGTTTCATTCTGACTTCTTCGCTGAGTGGGCCCATTTTGTTTGCCGATGTTTTCTCACTAGTCCAGGTGACATATCCAGTGGTAGCCGTTAAGGGTAACTGTTATCAACATCCGAGTCATCACATCGATTGGTTGGTTCAATTTCAAATTCCATCCACTCCGCATAATTTTCCGGCTTCATTGTTCCCCTGTGAAATTTGATTCTCTACAGTGCATTTCTTGATCATTTTTTGTCCCATTATAAATTCAACAACATGTATGCTTACTTTTGCTTAAATCTGTTGGACAAACAAGCTGGATTTCGGGACATCTAGCCAAATACAGCTAACTTTCTGTAGATCCCAGAATCACATAAATAAAAAAAACCGAATAAGTGCATCACGTTTGCGAGTATGGGTAATATTCTGGCAGTTCAAATCACTCTGCATATGCCATTTCTATTATCGAATGAATCAAATGCATAAGTGACGTAACACATGTTTTGTAACAGGTTTTATGTCACTCTTGTGTTTACGATTGACCATGGTAAATCGAGAGCTCTGACTGACTGTTTTTGAACGCACAACTTGAGGATGGGGGTATTGTTCAACCGAATCGCGATCGCTTCGACTGCTGCTCTTTTGCAAGCAGTAAAATTTATTAACCGAAAAATGCATTCATACAATGAAAACCAGTGAAACATCACCTTGTACAAAACTATTCACAATCATTAGTCTATCTAGTCTATCTATCAGACTCGAATCCAAACATATACTGTTCTCAGTCGAGTATGAAGAGGATAGGTTGCGCAGCCTAGTTCCAATAGTCAGCTTCACATCAGCTCAGCGATTGACTAAGGAATATCGATACTTGTGATGGGCTGGAGGAATGAGTCTGCATTAAAACAATGGGATGTTCATCTGCGCGGTAAACTAACCTCAACCTTTTAATAACTCTGAAAAATAGAAATGTGAAGCGAGAATTATGAATTCTCTATACGCCGCGTAATTTTTCTGGTTTTCCCGCTTTATGAAGGAAAATAGTTGAATTTGCACGATGGACATATCTGACAAACAATTGTGATGCTGAGATATCAGCAGTCACTCAAGAGATGGAATTCAACAAAATTTGATCAGGCGATTTTCTATTTCACTCGTACTATTAACAAAGATTGCCGTATATCAGAATACAAGGCGTTTGGTTTGTCACGCGACAGCTATCCATGTCTATCACATCTTTACTGTTTCGACTCCATCTCACACAGGCATTACGGTCCAAAGTGTATCGCTTGTCGCAAGTCGATCCAAACATCCGAGCTGGTCCAATTTGTGCGCAATTCAATTTTTCACATGCGTTGTTTCAAGTGTGCAATTTGTGAACGTCCACTTACCCCAGGCGATCAGTTCTATCTGGCCCGAGATGATCGATCGGTGATTTGCCACGAGCACTATAATCCCACCGGTCCGTCCCCCCACCTGACCGTGAATCCGATCAGTTGTGACCCGGTCGCAGATATGCTTCGCATGTCGAACGGGTTCAAATTGACCGCCACAACCCCGGTTCCCGGTTCCACTCGGCCACACGCGCTGAGCTCTCGGCCACCAGAGTGTAATAGCAGCAGCAACAGTGGTGGTCGAATGAACAACACTGACCGCGGTCTGAACATCTCGATCGGGAACGATTCGTCCGGCCCAATTGGGGTGATGACACTGGCCAGTACAGTCACGAATGAGTGTACAAACACGACTGCGAGTACAACACTGGGAAACACTGGGAAATGTTGTTCTTCCTCTCCTACGACTGGCACGGCACGATCTCCAATGGAGACAAATGTACCGGGTAAGATTTCGCTTTCCGTATGATTGCCGTGCTGTGCTTGGGGTTGTACGAATTGATGTATGTTTTCACCATTTGATGCTTACCATTTGAAATGCTGATTTACGAGCAAATTCATTTTGTGCGCCGCTGCCATAAAATCGGACAAGAATAATCATGAATCTAGAAATTTCGTAATGGGCTTGCTGAAGTAAAATCTGTTCTCGTGTCTGAACTCACAACAACCCGATGGTTTATGTCTATGACTAAAAGAAGTTCACCTTGAGATTACTGAAGTCAGAATTATGCAATCGCTGACCGCGGTTGTAAGCAAGTGAATCAGGTCATCAACCCGGACCTCGTGTGTTTGAATCTCACCCACTACAACCAGCATCAGCGTCAGCACCATCCGATTTCGCCCAATTCCCTGTGGGGAAATTTTGGTTGATCACATTAAATTGACTGCTCCATTGCATATGCAATACTTGAAAAGGGAACTGGAAGATAAGCAGTAGTCTTCGTGGGATTTCAATGAGAGGGAATTTCATTTTAAAGTAGACCAAACAATTTATTCCTTAATATAAAATCATCGCAGTGGTAGGGGGAATGATGGAATTATCACTGCGGTTGAGTGCACGTTTGGCCAAATTCAATATGCATCATCATGGTCTGTGAAGCGAGCGGAAAATATCTGGATTTTGAATGTACCTGACACAATCAGCACTATCAACACGAAACAAGTGGGTCTAAATACCGCTTTCCCTTTCTCTTTGCAATTTTAAAGGCAGCTTTTTCGGTGTAAATGGATTTACGCAACCCCTTAAAAAAAATCAAGTTGCCCCAATATCCAGTCGCGGTGTCCGCGTATCACTTCAACTCGTCTCAACATCATCTCAACTTTTTCCACTTTATCCACGCGGCTTCTACTCGTCAGCCAATCAAAATGACCATTTTTATCATATACTATATGCGGAATGGACTGGGATGATGCCTCTGTGGTTAAAATATCGTGAAGAGAGCCGACGACATTTATCGCTCAATAAATGATGGCATTTGCGTGATTATACAGCAAACGTAGGCCAAATATGCAACATTTGCAAACTTACAATCCTGTGAGTAGAGACTCCGAGTTTGATAGCTGAATGTGTATGCTCGTGTTAAACTGGTTGTCGGCCACTTGTGTGCGCCTTGTTCCTGTCTGCAAGATGAACGAGGCCGATTGAAGCTCAGTTGTCCCGTTCACCTTCAAGTACTTCGAACTGGTTTAGACTGGTTTTCTTGTCCAAATCCTGTTTGACGAACAAAGGATTGTGCTCGAAAGATGTTGAGCTCAGCTAAATAAACGTTCATCAGGATGAAAACATCAGAAACGGAAGAAAAAACGGCCAGATGTTTTTTATTCTCTTTTCGTTTTTCCCACTTTCTTCATTGAACATAAAAATACATAACCAATGTTCATGGATGCGAAAATGGCTAATCAAAGGTCACACTTGGGAGGTGATAACAGTTACGTCATCTCAAGGGTCCCCGTGCTATTCCACGTGATTTGGCGAAAAATGGAAACAATACAAGTACGAAAAGTTTTTCTCGTAAGGTTCTAACGTTCTCAAGAGAATCTTCGCATATCTAACCCCGTGAAATACCCATCTGGGTTACTGGTTCCCAACAACAGAAAATCACGAAATTCGTCGCCACCTGAGTAAAATTTTGCACTATGCGGCGATTGGTACGCTTGCTTTAACGAGCCTAGTTTGCTTTACGAGGAAAACCGAAATGTTGAAGATAAATCTCAGTGATAGATGCTGTCAATTACAAAGTTTTTCTTAGTCAAGAATTGTACCTATCTCGTAACTGGCTCCATTCAAAGCATCCGGTAGTACATCGCGATAACCAAAATATGGTTTTGATTAGGTAAGACAATTCGGTATAATCTGTGATTTTCTTCGCATTTTAGATTCAAATGGGAAATTCGTTGTGTATAGAGCAAATGAAGCATGAACTGAAAAGCTAGGAAGCACTGAACAGCTGTCTCGACCTGGTTGGGTCTCATCAATAGTGCGAATCCATCGACCCAACCGGGGGTCGAACCCGGGACCTACCCACACAATTACCCACTCGACTACCGGGCAGCTGATCACACCGTATTTCATTTCCCCTTTGAAAATGAACCAAATCCTCCGTTACTCACATGAAATATATATTCAGATCGTGAAAGTTTCCAACCCAGTCATAACCTCGGGGACTAGAGCTGAGACGAGCGAGGTCCGTTACTCGCAACAAACTCGCAAAGATGGGTTGTGCTATATCGTGTAAATGGAATCGGGTTGATAGAAACAGTGCCTGGTGTCGCACGATATTCACCTCTCAATGTAATTATACGTATCTCTCTCAGCGGAGTGCGGAAAAGATGCGCTTTAGAGAGAGAGCCCTATAGACTCGGTGGATAGGTGGTACCGGCGATAATTTCTACGACAAATGTAACAGATGTACCATGGCTTTACAGTGAGAAATAAGGAGTTCATCTCTCATACACTGACGAAGTTCCGGGAGTGAAGTTAGCCCAACATTCGAACTAACGTTCCAACAATTGACCACGGTGGTCACGTCTCCAACAGATTCGTAATGTATTCATTTCATTGGGTCCTGTCAAGGCCCACCCCAGCCAGGACTCATACGCACAAGGGATGAAACGCAGTCCATGGTTCACACACACATACACACCGGTTCTTCTAATGAGCTCACCCGGCAACTGGTCCTCACCCGTTGACAGTTTTCATTGACTTGCGCAATACAGAGCACATTTGACTGGACTCTGTTACGCACGCAAGCACACACGCACATGCGCGTGTGCACTCACCCACCTACCCACACACTGCGATCTGCTCAACGCGGTGGTAGGGATGATGAAGAACAGAAACGGACCACACGAGCCTGGTTTCAATTTTGAGTCAACAGGGGCTGTCGTCTGAACGTCCTCATCTCACAGACTGACTTGCATAAATTATCACATTGGTGTTGCTGCCTAGCTGACTACGATTTCGGTTTTCGGGGAGTGTGGTAGTGGCAGTTTGTGTATGTGGAGGGGGGGGGGATGGACCACTCGAAACGGACACGATTAAGAAACCCGTTGTATGTGCGCATGTAGCCGAATCGGATTGGCCCGTCAACGAGTTGTACACACGATCAGG